TTTATGTTTTTTCTTGGCTATAAATATATAAAAGACTCTGTCAAGAGTATCCTCAGGGAATGAAAGCAAAAGTGCAGTAAAGAGCAAGTTTCTGAGCTGGCAGCTTGAGTGACTGGCTTCTGAACAGAGACCCATCTGTTCTGGGGTTGATCCTGTCTCGTGTGAAAATCTTGCCTGCTTGGTGTCCTCAGATGCAGCTGGCCTGCAGGCAAGGGACAGCATCAGTGTCCCTGGAGGTTCATTCAGGTCATCCTAGATGGGTTCCTATGGGAAGTTTCGCCTGGACCCAGCTTTCCACAAATCTTCAGCTTCCTTAATAGACACAGACATGCCAATTTGATAATTGTGCAACTCTAGAAACAATGACCATTTCCAACCCCAGCTTTGGTAATCAAACCCCTTCTCAAGTCTATTAATGTCTGGAAGTCAGGGCTTTCCCCTTCTCTGTGAAGAATCTAGAGAGTTGGGTTCTAGAAGGAAAGTTAGAGACCTTTTTATCTGTTACATTATTTTCTTATTTTTCATCTGTTTTCCCACAAACAATGACCAGGTGTCCACTACATATCAGAAACTGGGATAGAAACTGGGGACACAGAGGTGAATAAGGTGCAGCCTCATCCTCAAGGCTCACAGGCCAGTGAGGAAGACAAGCCAACAGGAAGCTGCAGTTCTGAGGGCTAAATGTAACCGCGGGAGAACATCCATAACCAGCCTGGAGGCCAATGCAGGGGAGGGGTCAGGGCCAGCTTTCCAAAAAAGAAGATGCTGAGTTCGTAAACTAATTGAGAGGTAATTGCTAAAGAGGAGCCAAGCGGGATGCCAGAAGAAAGATGGGCAATAGGAGTGAGTTTTTCTGGTAGAGGGAAAAGCATCTTCAAAGGGCCAGAGATGGATGAGTAAGGGGTGAGTAAAGATGGCCCCTCAGAACTCATGTTAGGCTCAGTATGGCTGGACCCTGGTACACAAGAACCACAGGGTAGGAGGTGGGCAGGGGCCAGGTCTCGAAGGGCTTGCACTTGAGGCCCAGAGAAAAGAAGTGACTGCCTAAGTCCGCATTGTATCAGAGGCCTGGCTTTCCCAGTTCCCATCGAAGGCTATCTATTGCTCAGCATTGCCTGTGTAACTTAAGGCTTCTTACCAGGGATGGCCTCCCGCATTAGCAGAGGGACAATTTACTGTTGGAGGCTGCCCGCCTCCTTGCAGGAAGTTGAGCAATCCTGCCCCGCTCCCCGCCACCATGGTGGGGGCCACTTAATGCCAGTAGCACCCTCTGCAAGGTATGCAAACAACAGCAACCCCCACACAGTCCCAATGCGCCCTCTGAGAACCACCACAGAGGCAGGAGGATGGGGAGAGAGGCGCCTCCTTCCAGAGTTTCCCTAGCTGATCCCGGGAGACAGGAAATGATTGCATGTGGAAGTGTCCTCACTGCCAGAGGCTACTGGGCTCTGTCTTCCTTGGAGAAGGAGAAAATGGGCAGGGGATCCAGGCTGTGGGGAGGTGGTAATTTGACTTCTGCTTGAGAAACAGCATTTAGGAACAGAACTGAAGAAAATCATCTCTCAATCTCCCCTCGCCCCCTCTCACGGTCCTTCCCAGAGCCCCTCCCAACCAAGACTTTTTCTTTGGTTTTTGTTTCCCATTGCAGCATTGCTGGCAGGGCTTGATCCACCTCCTGGAAAAGCCGCTCAGTGGGGCTGGGAGCTGAAGCGGCTGATAACAGAACGCCTGGGGCAGGGACAGTGTGAGGGGGGAAGGGGAACTGGAGCTGGGGAACGGATGAATGAAGCTGAGAGATGGGGGTTCCAGGTTGGGGACAGGGACGCATGGAGCCTCCTTTACCCTGTGTCTCAGGAGATAAAATCCACAGCCTGCCACACCAGTTTCTGAAAATTAATTCCTGTGTTGTAACACACGCCCCAGATCCAGGACAACTTGTGGGATGGAGATGATGATATCAAAGGCCAGGGAGCTGAGACAGATTTCATTTCCCCTGCTGACTCCATATGCCCCTAAATGAGGTATATCCTGCTCCCGGGCAGCCCATCTCGAAACCCGAGGGCCTGGCCTGGCTCAGGTAAGTAGGAAGGTAGGAGCCAGGACAGACAGAGAGCCTCTATCTATGCTTGCTCCCCCAGGACTGTCCCCAGCTGGTGCCCACGGAGGAGATCCTGATACCAGTCGGGGAGATAAAGCCAATCACCCTTAAGGCTCGGAACCTGCCCCAGCCTCAGTCTGGTCAGCGAGGCTATGAGTGTGTCCTCAACATCCAGGGCGCCATCCACCGAGTGCCCGCCCTGCGCTTCAACAGCTCCAGCGTCCAGTGCCAGAACAGCTCGGTAAGAGGACTTGGGCTCGGGCTCTGCTGGGAACAGAGCTATCTCTCCCCCCTATCAAAGACTCGGCCTCGCCTGCCCCAGCTTCCGGAACCCTCCAGGTCCATGGGCTGACCCCGCATGCCCAGGGCCCGAGGAGCGGGCATGCACCCCAGGCCCCTCAGCCAGAGCCGAACAGGTTGATGGCATCAGAGGACAGGGTGTCCTGTGAGGTCCCCGATGGCATAAGTCGAGAGCTTTGTGCCCTTTCTGAGTTTAAGGAACACCTCTCGGCCTTCAGCGAAACTTCGGCCAAAGCCAGCCAACTCCACTGCAACCCCTTTCCCCATTCGGAGGGTGAATAAAGTGGAAGGCACCGTGCCAGAGGAAAGCTGCAGGAGAGACGGACGAGCAGGAAGTAGCATGCGATGAGGGAAGATGGGAGGGGAGGAAGTAGAAGCGGTGAATTTCAAGAGCCGCAAGGGTTCAACCAATTCCGAATGCCAGACAGAAAGCCGAGGTGTTTAATTATAATACTAGCCCAGAGAAGATCTTTTTATCTGCCAGCTCCCTGTCTCTGACTGTGGGGGGTCAGCTGGAGATGGGGGGTGACGTGACAAAGGTGTTGAGGGAAGCTAATTCGTCAGGGAGAGATAAAGAGAACCTGGGCCTCTTATCAGGGAGCTGTCAGATTGCCGGGTCACAGAGGCGTGATAGAATTTGTAATTGGGGGAAGGCCGCCGAGCTCACGGGGAAGGTAGGATGAGAAAGAAATGGAACACGACAAAGGGCGGAAGGCAGCGGGACAGGCTGCGGGCAAGAGGGCTGCCAGGGACGTGCCCGGAGAGCTCGGGCATGGCCTCGGGCAGTCCCCGCAGAGGGGATTCCCAGAGGTCCCCTTCACAGAGGCACAGGGCCTGGGCCACAGAGAGGGGCTGTTTCTGAAGTGTGTGAAGGGCTTAAAAGTCCTCTGTGGGATCAGCTTGGGAGAGAGAGTCAACTGCTGACCACAGCTTGAGGCCTTTCATGGTAAGGCCGATCAGATCTGTGCCCAGAAAGCTCTGGACACTCTTCCTAGTGGACTGTTGACCAAAGTAAAGCGGATGTGCTGAAAGAATGGGCCACTGCAGGGCCCGGCCAGCCGTTTGTTATGCACGTGCTCTGCTCAAGGCTCCGTGGGGTTTACAGAGCGGCACACGGACCTTCTGGAGAGACGAGACTTGCACATGAAAAGATGCAAAGCAGCTCCTGAGAAGTGCTGGATTAAAGACGGAAACTGGCAACACCAGGGGACAGAGAGCTTGGGGGAGGGCTGGCAGGGATGTCAGAGAAGACACGTGGGGAAGGTGAGTCTGAGCTGGACTAGAAAGGTACAGATGGGTTGACAGGTGGATGCTATCGGGAGAGGGAGCCATTCCTCATGAGATGTGAACTGGACAGAGGCACAGAGAGGGGCTGGGGCGGCTGCATTTGGAGGCAGGTGGAGAGCAGTGGAAGAGAAGGTTGGAGAAGAAGTTTGGATCTGGAAAGCACTGAACGCCAAGCTAAGGAACATGTACTTCATCCTGTTGGCATAAGTGACTGGGGGTCGGGGCAGCGGGCCACAGGGAGACTTGAGCAGCACGTGCGGCTCCTCTGATTCTCCCTCTGCCGCTTTCTCAGCCCAGAGGGAACCGGAGTCCCTGGTTTCTTTCTGTGTAGTCTGGGTC